GGTTTCTATGTTGTCATGTAGACTCCATAACCGTCCCCTTGTGGTTCCGGGATATTCTGTCCCTTAGATGTGCCATCCCGTCGTTTGTCTAACAAATCCCTTATTGTTGAATATCTAGGTGGTTTCCCCGTTGAGGCTAGTTATAAATACCACCACCGTGCACGTTTTTGGTACATGCACCTCTTCCTGTATTTTGGAGTATTTCACTTGGATAGAGTCCCAGAAGTGGGGCTGCTGGGATTTGAGGCTCATGTTGGGTGGCTGGGATCAAAGCGTGTTTGTGGAGTGTGGACAAGCCTTCGCTGGAGGAACAGAGGCGGGACTTGGAGGCCTGTGCTGCCTACCACCTGTGTGGGGATCTGGGCCTCTCTGGAGAGGGGACAAGTGACACGGGACAGAGACCACAAATACTCATCTCTTAGAGCCCGCACTTCAGGGCAGCTTCCCATTTGCCAGGAGGTAAAAGAGGAGCTGTGTGAGCCAGGAGAGATGAGCCCCTGGGGACGGTGGGGACATGACCATTGAGATTCTCTCTCATCTCAGCCAGACGGAGAGTGACACTAAGACCCAGCTCCAGCCCCGGCTTTGGGACATCAGCCCTGGAGGCTGAAGAGGACCATCCTCCAGGGCTGAGCTGACTTCATACGTGGGGTAAGGATGGGGGCGAAGAGGCAAATGTCACTGCTGACACTGATTCAGCTCGCACTCTCTGCCACACACCGCTCTCAGCCTGATGTGCACCCTCAGACTTAACCTTCACAAAAGCCCAGTGGAGCAGACACTCCTGTCTCCCCAGCGGCACAGCTGAGGAGGCTGGGGCACAGGCAGGTGAAGAAATTTGCCCAAGTAACAGCCCAGGAAGGAGCAGCTGGGGCTTGGGCCCTGGGTCGAACCATCGCATCACACTGCCTGTGGGGAGATGAGGTTTGGTCCCCTTCTTGCCCTCCCAGCTAGAGTGCCACCAGATCAGTCCCGACAAGACGACGTTCACAATAGGGTTTTGAAGGTTGAACAGAAGTTGACCAAGAGGTCAAGTAAAGGAAGACCATTGGTCTGGGAGCGAGCAGGGCAGCCACAGGGAATGAGGTGTGTTTGGAGGAAGAGCTCACCTCTCCCCAGTGTGCATACATTCTCATGAGAGCACTTGCCAGTCCTGAGCCTCTTCATGCATCACAAGTCTGCTGAGCGCTGTGCAAATGTCATCCGACCAACATTTGCAGCAACTCGATGAGGAAGCTATTGGGGTTGCCATCATCCTCATTGTACAGTTAATAACACTGAGGCACAGAAAGGAAGCTGGAAGGTGGCAGAATCAGGATCTGAACCTTGGCATCCATCAGAGCATTGCACTTTTGTTAAGATTTTATTCATTTATTTGAGAGAGCACAAGCAAGGGGAGTGGCAGAGGGAGAGGGAGAAGCAGGCTCCCCACTAAGCAAGGAGCCCGATGCGGGGCTCCATCCCAGGACCCTAGGATCATGACCCGAGCTAAAGGCAGACACTTAACGACTGAGCCACCCAGGCGCCCCTGCACTTTTTTTTTTTAAGATTTTATTTATTTATTTGAGGGAGAGAAGACAAGCAGGAGGAGTGGCAGAGGGAGAGGGAGAAGCAGACCCCTCACTGAGCGGGGAGCCCGATGCGGGGCTCGATCCCAGGACCCTGGGGTCATGACCCGAGCCGAAGGCAGACGCTTAACGACTGAGCCACCCAGGCGCCCCTGCACTTTTTTTTTTTTTAAGATTTTATTTATTTATTTGAGGGAGAGAAGACAAGCAGGAGGAGTGGCAGAGGGAGAGGGAGAAGCAGACCCCTCACTGAGCGGGGAGCCCGATGCGGGGCTCGATCCCAGGGCCCTGGGGTCATGACCTGAGCCAAAGGCAGACGCTTAACCGACTGAGCTACCTAGGTGCCCCAGATCCCTGCACTTTTTAATTCCATGTTAGGTGGTGGAGTGTGGACTTGACCCTGCGGGCACTGAGGAGCCACAGGGAAGACTGGAGATGGGAACCTTGAGGCCTTGCTGGGGGTGGCTGAGCTGGATGCTGGGACATCTGGGAGGCTATAATGGGACCCTGAAAGGAGCAAAGGGTGGATGGGTGATTGAAGAAGAGAAAAAACAGAGAAAGCCTGTGGGAAAGGCTCTGCCCTTGTATTAGGAAGTAATCACAGCCACTGTGTTCAGAACGCTTACTGGGTACCAGGCGGATGCCCAGCTGCAAATACAGACCCTGACACGTAATAGCCGGGCGACCTCGGGCAAATTCTTGTACCTGGTGGATCTTGTCTCTCCAGGTGTCACATGGTTCCAATAAGAGTACCCACCTGTAGGGCTGCTACAAGGATCAAGTGAATGAACTCGTGTCAAGCCTCGCGACAGTATCTGGCTCTCAGTAAGCGTGATGCAAGCTGTTTTGCAAAGGGGGAAACTGAGACTCAGAGAAGTTGGGCTTTTGCTCAAGGTGACCATTGTTCTGAGGGGTAGAGCTGGGATTTGACCCGGGCCGTCTGGTTCTGGAGTTGCTCTCCTTGACCGTTATTCTCTGTGGCCTTTCAAGGTGCTGGGGTGGCCAGGCGGAAAGCCCCGAGGTGGCTCTATGCTCCTGGGTGGGGGCAGAGGAGGAAGGGGACAGAGGTGTGGGGGGGTGGCTCCTGGGTCTCTCACTCGGGCCGGGTCACCCAGGCCCCTAGCGGCGCCTCCTCCAACCCGGGTCCCGGGAGGCCCTGGCGTTTCCCTTGGTGCCAGGGGATTGTTTTCAGCTCTGTCTGGGCCCGCCTCCGGCTCCGGGAGACAGGCCCGGGCGTCATACTCCCTCCTGTCTCCCCATTCTCGTCTGCGGGGTGGGGGCAGCCAGGATTCGAAAAGTCCCCAAAATAAATGGACCTCTTATCTGATCTCCCAGCCTGGCCTGTTATCTGATCATTACATAATGGCCAGGCCCGTGGCCTCTCCCGCTGACGGCATGGAGGAGGTGGCCCCAGGCGGCCCAGGCAATCCAGGAGGAACTGGGGTTCCTGGAAGTCTGGGGAGGGGGCAGGGAAAGTCCGGAGGAAAGGAGGAAGGCACTGCACTAATCTGCAGGCCAGACCCCGCGTCATGCAGAGAGAGGTGGGTCCGAGGCCCAGCCTGGTCAGCCACGTGCTGTGTGACTCTGGCACACCCCGCCTCTCCGGGCCTCAGTCTCCCCATCTGTGTAGGAAGGGTTTAGACCAGGTAGCAGCTAAGAAGTCTGTGTTCGCTGATAGGGAAAGGGAGGGAGGGGGTGGGGAGCACTGAGGGGCTTGGTGGGTCACCAGGAGGTGGGACAGCAGGAGATGGTGTCAGCCCTGTGTCTGCTGGGATGAGGGGGGCTGTTGGCCTGGGACACCACTGACCTGCAGACCGCCCCATCCCACCACTTCACCCCTACCCCCTAAGAGAGTCCCTTCTTCTCCAGTGACTGAAGTCAATCAAATAATGGTGACCCAAAGAACCGCCATATGCCCTGTTCTCAGGGAGTCCTCCCAACAACCTCTGTGGATTCTAACTGTCATTTCACAGATGAGGAAACTGAAGCCCAAAGTGGTGAAATCGCTCACCAAAACCACATAGCCAGTAAGTGCCGCCTGAGATTCAAACCCAGGTCGGCCTGGCTCCAGGGACCTTGCCTTGAATCACAATGCCAAAGGACACTTGCTCTGTGACCCTTGCAGACAGGACAGGGCCAGGGCAAGGACTTACAAGGTCTGGGCCCCCGTAGTCGCCAAACGTCCTAGTCCTGAAGTTATCCCTCCCAAGGTGCTGGGGTGAGTGGTGTGGCCACGGCCAGGGACGGCCATCTTAAGTCCTCCTCTGACCTCCGGGGGTCCTGAGCCCAGCAAGGCTGGCTTAGGAAAAAGACGGCCCGATAGCCTGGGATTCGGAAGAAGCCTCCCTACCCCCCTCCTCTGAGCTGGCGACGGCTGGACGTGGGGCCAGCCCCTCCGCGCCCATCTTTGATCTCCAAGAAAACAGGAAGTGAGCGCGACAAGATGGAGACACAAACTTCCAAACAGTCTCCCCTTCTCTGTCCTCCTTCCCTCCTCCGGAGCCCCCCCTTCCTCGGCACATTCCTGAGGACGAGGTGTAGGGGCCTCATTTCCTCTTCCTCCTCTGCTGGGTCAGGGTGAAATTCCATTGCCTTCCCTCAGGACCTGCGTTTCCGAGCAGCCCAGGAGCAGAGCAGGCTCCGTGGCCCAGGCCTCCTCCCAAAGCCGCCCTCTGAACCCGGGCCGCCCTTCTGGCTCGCTCCCTCCCTTGGGGCCAGGAGACTCAACCCTCCTTGGCCCCATTCCTCCCAGCCTCCCCGAGGCGCAGGGAAGTTTTGGGAAGTTTTCCTCTCCCAGTCTTAGCTCTTGTCTCCCTTCAGAGTGAACCAGCCCGGAGGCTTGGGTGTGTGTACCTGTGAGCTCAGCCCCACAGCTAGGGTTGTGGGATGTAGCAAATAAGAACATCGGATGCCCAGTTAAATTTGAGTGTCAGATAAACAGTGAAAAAAAATTTGGTGTAAGTATGTCCCATGCAATAGTTGGGATATACTTATACTTTTAAAAATTAATCGTTTTTATTTATTCAAATTTAACCAGCTATCCTGCGTTTTATCTGTCAGCCCTACCCCTAGTCACACTGTGACCTCGGGCAAGAGACTTCTCCTTCCTGAGCCTTAGTTTCTCCATCTGTGGAATGGTTATAATGATATCCACCTTGTAGGGCAGTTGTGGGGATGCAGAAAGCCCTAAGCCAGTGCCAAGCGCTAGGCATTCGGATCTTGGGAGTGACTGTCACCACCGTATTCTCACCTGGTGCTCTCTCTGGATGTGCTTCCCCAACAGGTCTTGCAGAAACAGTCCATTGTGACCTACAGCCTGTGGACGCCGAGGTGACATATGTTACGAGTCAGGTTTCTAAGGGCTGTGTGGCTCAGGTCCCCAATGCCACCCTTGAAGTTCACATTCTCTTCCTGGAATCCTCAAGGGTGAGTGCTTGGTGGCAGGGCTGGGGTTGGGGTCCCAGAGAAAGGCCCAGGGCCAATGGGATGAGGGGAGCCTTCCTTGTGGCTGTCCCTGGAGCAGCGGGCCGTGTCCTCACCAGGGTCCCCGCCAGGAGGGATACATGGGCATTTTGCAGGGCCAGTAAGGGATGGCATTTCCGGGGCCAGCATCACAGAGGTCTTCTGGAAGCCCCAAGGCCCAGGTGGGAAGGGCTGGGTGTGGCCAGTGATTGGAGAAGAGCCAGGTGAGCGGTGGCAGGGACCAGGTGAGCTGTCACTTGTGCACCTGCAGTGTTGGGGAGCTTGCTGCTTCTCGGCAGACGGAGCTCCCCTCCAGGCAGCTTGGGTTTTGAGCAAGTGCTTCCCTCAGTTGAGCTCAAGTCTCCTTCCCTACAATGTCCCCCACTGAACATCGGTGACCTGGCCAGGCAGCCCACAGAGATCGAAGCCAGTGATGCCACCTTGGAGACCACTGTCCCTACTGAGGTCCAGCATTAGCCGAAGTCCCTCCTAATGATAATACCACACTTATGGAGGGCTTGCTGTGTGCTAGGTTCTGTTAGAGGCCTACTAAGAGCCGGGAATGGGGCTCAACATCTTCCATGTATGAAGCCTCCCAAGGGCCTATCTGTCAGAGTCTGTTATTGCCCCCGCTTTTCAGAGGAGGAAACTGAGGCAGGCCTAGAGAGGTGAAGTCCCATGCCCAAGGCCAGAGTTCGCACTAGATTCTGGGAGGCCCCAAGCTAGGCTGTCACCTGGCTCCCCAGCAGATCTGTGTCCTGGCAGCATTTGGCCTGCCCAGGCTGGTGGCCACACCTGGCTGGTGTGGCCTCAGGTCCTGATAGCGATTTAGTGGCGTCAGCTCAGTAAACTTGTGGCTGGGCTGCTCCTGAAACTGTTGAGTTGCTCGGCGTTTGTGTGGTGATAAGATGGTGCCCAGACCACCAATATCGAGGGGGGCCTGCTCCCCACCGCCCTGCCTGCCACCAGGACTGTGGGCCTCGATAATCCCCAAACTGAGATAGTGCCAGACACACGTTATATGGTTTCCAAAGCCATTGTAATTTTTTTCACGTTTGGTAACGATACGGAACATAAGATTGCCCTCTGTAAGCTCATTTTGTTTGTTCTGATGACCGGTCACTGGGTGACTGGGATTCGCCCCCACTCCCCCCAAATCACTCAACAACGGGCCGGAGTCCGAGAAAAGCCCCCTGCCAAGTGCCAGGTCTGTGGGAAACAGATGTGTAGACAGCCAGCCAGGATCTGGGTAATGGGTGCTCTCTTGGGGAGTGCAGGACAGGGGTATGGCAGCTGCTGTGGGATTAGACAGGGCTTCCAGGAGGAAGCAACAACAGTAAGATGGCCAGGAGTGAAGGAGGTGGTAGAGAAGAGCTGAGGACAGAGTGAACCACAGGCAGGTGAGTGGACCGTGGTTAGGGTCAAGGTGTTCACCACGGCGGGAGCTTATAGTTCACCTTGGGGCAGGGCTGGGGAGATGCAAAGGCCCTGCCACTATTTTAAGGAGTTTGGTCTTTCTGCTGTGGACAGTGAGAGTCATTGGAGGGTTTTTAGGGCCATGGTGGGATGGCAGTGTAACTCACGTCATCCTAGAGCTCATGACAACAGACCCTTCTGTCGCTCTCCGTCTCCTCCGGAGGACTCAGCCTGTGGAGCATCTGGCTTTTAATCCAAGAAGCCAGGCTGCAAGCCCCAGGCCTGTCAGGCACATCTGTTTGAGGGGGTGGTAGAGAGAGCTGGGATTCAGGAGACTGGGGCTCCAGCCTTGGCTACGTCACTGACCAGCACCTCATATAGTACCTGGCACGTGGAGGGGGCTCCTTCCCCTCACTCTTCCACACCCACACAATTCTGGAGCTCAGGGACTCAGTGAAGAATCACAGTGTCAGAATCTGGCCCAGGGCCCGGCAGATAGCAAATAACCGTTTGCTGAATGCGTGAGAGCAAGAACGCACTGCTAGGTGGCCTCGACCCAGCAGGTGCGAATGCGGGCTCTGGAGCTGGACGGTCTGCAGACTGGAGTCTGCCTTCCCACCTTACAGCAGCAGGACCTTGGGCCACTTCTCTAGGCCTTGGTTTTCCACAGGAAATATGGGGACGATAATAGTACCTCCCTCACAGGGGGTTTGCGAGGATCCGGTGGGGCAGAGCGGGCCAATATTGAGTGCGGGGCTGCCCAGAGTGACTGCTCATCCTACAGTAGCTCTGCTTGTTGTTACTCGTATGTTATTATCTTTCTATATATGCACACACACACACATATATATACACACACATTATTTATACACATACACACACACATTATATAACAATAATATCTTGTTGTTATTATATGTTATTATCTTTGGCCTCCGGGTCTCCCCTGTAAATACCCTCCTCTTACCAAGCATGCTGTAGTTTTCAGAACATCTTCACATCGGCCCAATAATTTGATCCCCAAAGGTTATTGCTACCAGGTAGCTGAGGCAGGGGCCATGAATCTCTTTTCAGAGGGGGCCACTGAGGCCCAGCCCGATGGAGCTGGGCCTCCCCACCAGGAGCTCCTGGCCTCCCTGCCCCAGGGGCCCATGATCCCCCCCCAGACCCTACTCTGTGACATGGAAGGCACCTTCCTCTCCAAGTAGGCCCCCCCGCCGGGAATCGGATCCATAGCCTGACAGCCCCCCCCACCAAACAGTCCTGGCCAGGTGCCTGCTCGGTGCCCAGCTTGTGTTGGGTATTGATGATGCAAAGAGAAAGCAGACCCGACTTCTGCCCTTGAGCCACTCCCAAGCCAGGGGAGGCAGAGGTGGGCATCGGCAGGCTGATGGGATTGGCAATGGGGGGCACACGGGGCTGGGGAGGGAAAGGGGCGTTAGTGAAAGGCTCTCGGTGTCCAGCCAGACAGAGACGGCGGTGAAGGGCATCCCAGGCAGAGGGCACCGCACAAGCAAAGCCCTGGGGCCAGAAATACGAGCTGGCGGCGGGCGCGTGGGTGGCAGCTGTCTCAGCAACCAGCCCCAGCCCTCCCAACCTGTGGCCGCCGTCTTCCAACCCTGGCCCGCAGAAACGGCTTTCCCGTCCACCCCTGCATAGCCTCCGCATCCTCAGATTTCCTGTGGGTGGGCAGCAGATGAGCTGTGGCAGCCAAGAGGCTCAGGGAAGAAAGGTCCATGGCAGACAGATGAGGGGACCATTGGGCAGAGGCTCTATCTCGCTGGGTCCCCAAAGGGCAGGCCGGAGCCTGGATTCCAGGAGGGGGCCCGGGGTCACATCCTGACCCGCGGAGACAGGAAACTGGCCTGGTGTCTCAGCGATTCCCGTCAGACTGACTGCACGGGTCTGCTGTCTTCCTTACAAGCCCCAGGCAGCCGGGCCAGAGCTGGGGCAGCCGCTGATTCACCCTACTTCTGGGCAAACCCGGGGAGCTGAGGACACCCCACCCACCTCCAAGCAGATGGAAGTTGCTGGGCTCTTGCACTGACTCATTCCTGACCAGAGGGGCAGGCAAGGCGGCTCAGGCAGAGAGGAAGAGCAGGAGGGGCCCGGGGCTCCCCCAGACTGTCCTAGGAGGCTGTGAAGGGCTCTGGAGGTCAGTGTTGTTCTCAGACCTGGGCAATGGGGGCCCCTGTTCAGGCCCCACAATTAATGGCCCTTCTCTGGCCCTCTTCCAGTTGCACTCCTCACCTCCCCCGCCCCGGGGATAGGGTATCTGCAGGGCCAGAGGGACATGCCCACCCGGAGCCTGCACCTGTCACCTGAGTCCATGCTCTGGGTCCCTGGACTCCAGAATTCCCTGCCCATATATGCTGAGCCTCCTTCCCGGGCTGCGTGGGGCTCTTTCTTGTCCCATCCTCTAGAAGGGGGCACTGCATGGCTGGAGGAAGGTCTGCCACACCTAAAGGCTGGGCAAGGTGACTACGTGAAGGGGGCAGGCATGGCAGAGCATGGGCATTTGGGCTGGGTCACCCACGTCCGTACTCATGAAGAGAAGGAGGTGAAAAAAAAGGAGGGTGGGCTGGGAGCTGGGGGCTGCCATCTGTATTCTTATCCCAGGCCTTGCTGATATGAGGGGCAGGTTCAGTGGAAAGGCATGGATCGGGGGCCCAAGAGGCTGGGCAGGGCTGATGTCTGCTGTCTCACTGCTATGTCCCCCGTGTCCAGCTCAGGGTCAGTCACGATCGGGTAGTTGGGTGGATGGATGGATAATGGAAGGAAGGAAGAGAGTGAGGGAGGGTGGGAAGAAGGAAGGAAGGGAGGAAGGAAGGGAGGGAGGAAGGAAGGAAAGAAGGAGGGAAGGAGAAATATACATGCGCATGAGCATTTGCTGAGGGACTCTCCCCACGGGGTTAGTGGTGGCACTCGCTGTTCACCTCTGGTTGTTGAGGGGTGTTAGTTCTCTGCCAAACTCCTGGAGGATAGAGTTGTGCCTACTTCCTGTGCCCCTTCAAGAGCACAGAAACCCTAGGCTGGGCCCCCAGCACTGGCCTCTCAGAATCACAAATGAACAGGGGAGGCGGAAGAACATGGGCCGACCAGGGGCCCTCAGCCGGGGAAAGCAGCACGTCTCTTCTGGGAGGTTCTGGAAGCCCACTTGGTGTCCACTTGGCTAGAGACCATGACTCTGGGATGCCAAACATGGGGACCCCAGGAGGCAGGATAAAATCCAGGGGCCACACGATACTAGAACATCGCTGAGCCCAACTCCTCGGTACCCAGATGGGGAGACCGAGGCCCAGAGAGGGGATGCCACAGTGAGGCGTAGCTTCAACATGTTCCAGTTCTCACTAACTGCTGCCCACCTTTAATGCCAACCTCGCCAGCCCCCAGGCCATGGCCCTCCGCTGGGTGAGTGGGCAAGGAGGGAATCACGGGTCATGAGAGCCGAATCTACTGCTGTATATTTAGCGGGGCACCGGACGCCCCACCTTGCAGGCAGCATCTCACTGAATCCTCACAAGTCTATGAAGTGGGCATATTACTCAGCCGATTTTCCAGACCAGGAAACTGAGGCCCAGAGAGGAATAGTGACTGCCCAGGGTCACAGGTTAATGACTGAGCCCACACTGGAATTCAGGTCAGTCTGGCTTTGACCCCTGGCCCCTGCCATCCTGCCTGCCTGTATCATCTGAGTCTGCTGCCTGGGCAGAGGGACGGCCGGCTCCAATCTGGCCGGCTCCAGTCTGGCCCTCGGAGGGTGGGGGCTGCAGGCAGCCCCAAGGCTCCACTCCTAGAAGAATTGCTGGAAGCAACTTTCTATAAGTGGCTACTAGTGTTCAGGGCCTCCTCACTGAAATCCCCCCTTCCCGCCACCAACCGCTGGGCCAACAATGGTATCTCTGGGACACTGGCACAAAAATAGAAACTCGGTCTCCTGCCCACCCACTCAGGGAAGGGGCGGGGGTAGGCCTGAACTGGCCCAGGTCGGAGCTGGGAGTGAGGGGCCGGCCGGCCTGCCTACCTCGGCTGGGCTCCCAGAATTCCCAGGATGCCATTCGGAAGACTGGGAGCTTGGGAGGGGGGGCAAGGCAGACCCCTTGCTTTGCCTCTGGGCTCCGGGCTGGGGGGAGGGGGCGGGAGGGAAGAGGGAAGTCAATGTGCGTATGAGTGACTGTGGTGATGAGTCAGGGCCATGGGATGGAAATGTTTGCTGTGGAAACCCAGCTGGGGTTTTCTGGTAACCAGCCGGCCTCAGCTAGGTCCGGGAGCTCAGAGACCCCCGGGGGGCCCAGCTTTCCTGCCTCCCCGAGCTTGCGCACTGCTCACTTGCTGCGTGTCCCCGCCCCATGGCCTCACCCACTTTCTGCCCCCAGCTCTACCAGTAGGGATGCGGTGACGACTGAGTGATGGGTGAGGAGCTGAATGTCGTGATAAATGTCCCCACAGAGTTCCAGTCTCCTCATGCCCTCACTCTTGGCATGACCCGACACTGACCTCCACTTCTCTTTTCTAACTTCCTTTATCTAGAGCCCCACCAGGTATCTGTTCCCAACCCTGTCCTACCAAGTGGGGAGACTGAGGTACAGAGGAATAGTGACAGTTGCCGATCAGCAGCAAGAATGGAGGTTCACAGGGTTCTTTCCTGTCAGCTCTGAGGCCATGCTCCCTGCTGCTCTGTCACCCGCAGTGCTCTCGGCCTGTGGATGCCCACGAAGGGGCAGAGGATGGACCTCATCCACTGCAGCCCATCAGCAGCATCTCCAAACCCCAGCGCCCATCTCTTTACTGCGTGGGGGGCCCCAGAGGTCACTCCCCTGGGTGAGGACAGCTAGATGGGGCTGGACAGTGATGAACTGTGGGGAAGTCCAGAAGAACAGGGTTGAGAGGGAGACATGGCCCAGGAGAGGTATAGGGGCTGTGGGCTCCACTCTGGTCCCCGACTTTGCCCCCAGCAGATCCCTGGGTAGTTTCCCTCCCTGAGCCTCAATTGCTGCATCTGTAAACTGGGAGGATACCTGACTCTGCTTCACTGAAAACCCATGTAACACACGCTCAGTCCAGGGCCAGGCACGGATTAGGTTGAACCATGTGAAATTACTGATACTCAGTTGTTGTTTTTTTTGACAGCTTTATCCAGATAACATTTGCCCATTTAGAGTGTACAATTGAATGGTTTTTAGTAGATACACAGGATTGTGCAATCCTGTTCGATTGTTCAAGCTAACAGTACATACGCAATCAGGGTAAGAAGGTGGGGGCAGGTCCATTCTCAGAGATTCTCAAAGATTCTCATTCTCCAGGATTCTGGCAGGTCGGCTGTACCGGGTCTTTCCCAACACCACCGAGATGGGTCTCCCTCTGCTCAGGTTAATTTCAGGTAGTCTGCCAATTATACTTCAATTTTTATTTATTTATTTTTTTTAAAGATTTTTAATTTATTTATGAGAGAGAGAGAGAGGGAGTGAGCACACAAACAGGGGAAGCGGCAGGCAGAGGGAGAAGCAGATTCCCTGCTAAGCAAGGAGCCCGATGCGGGACTCAATCCCAGGACCCTGGGATCATGACCCAAGCCGAAGGCAGACGCTTAACCGACTGTGCCACCCAGGCATCCCTATACTTCAGTTTTTAAATAAATTAATGAATTAAATGAAAACTTCAGATAATGATCATAATCCTGGAACAAAACGTCAGTTGTGACATTTAGCTTTGTATTTCATGTTTTACCAAAATATATTAAATCCAGTATTTAATTTTTAATGTGTTTAGAATGCATAAATATTTCATTTTTTTTTTAAGTTGTATTTATTCAAGTAACCTCTACACAAAACATGGGACTCCAACTCATGGCCCTGAGATCTAGAGTTGCACACTCCTCCGGCCAAACAGCCAGATACCCCTCAGATGCATAAATGTTATTAAAATTGATTTAAGAGGCGCCTGGGTGGCTCAGTCGTTAAGTATCTGCCTTCAGCTCAGATCATGATCCCAGGGTCCTGGGTTCGAGCCCCACATCGGGCTCCCTGCTCAGCGGGAAGCCTGCTTCTCCCTCTCTCACTCCCCCTGCTTGTGTTCCCTCTCTCACTGTGTCTCTCTCTGTCAAATGAATAAATAAAATCTTAAAAAAAAAAAAAAATAAATATAAAAATTGATTTAAAAAGATGTTTCGAAAACCAAAAGGTCAGGCGCCTGGGTGGCTCAGTTGGTTGAGCAACTGCCTTCGGCTCAGGTCATGATCCTGGAGTCCCTGGATCGGGTCCCGCATTGGGCTCCCTGCTTGGCAGGGAGTCTGCTTTGCCCTCTGACCCTCCCCCCTCTCATGTGCTCTCTCTCTCTCTCAAATAAATAAATAAAATCTTAAAAAAAAATAAAACCAAAAGGTTATAAAACCCATTAGAAAACTCTAATTAATAAAAAATGTGAACTTACAAAACATAAATTTGAAACCTATATTATCGTTCCATAAATTCACGTAAAAATAGTGATCCGAAGATAGGCAACGTCAATAGCTCACTAAAATAAAAAAGTTACTTGTAAAACATTGAAAATGAAATCACATTATTCGCTCTTTTGTTTTAAAGAGCAAAGTTACAAACAAAGAGTGACTATGGTGTCATTATTGACTAACGGAAATATTTCTGGGCAGATTTTTCCAGTGGCTGAAACACTCTCTTGGCTCTGTGACATCAGCTGGGGAAATGTCCAGGAGATCATTGGAAGTGAAATCTAAAACTTTCCACTGATGTCTTCATCTTGAAATACCTCTCTCCTTTTTGATAAGTGTGAGGAGATTTGGGGGGTCAAGTTTTCTCTCTGTTGTAGAGGCTGCCCGCTTCAGAGAGCCGCTGGAGCTCGTTGCTCTCCGTGGAGTGTTTCCATTCGTCTTTGTCCTCATGAGTCTGGGGCAGGGCTTCCGACATCTATCCCTGCCTGTCCGCTGGTTCAGAAAGTCTTTGAGCAGAGCTGAGGTTGTTCTTTTTTCTTTCCTTTCCTTTCCTTTTTCCTTTCCTTTCCTTTCCTTTTTCCTTTCCTCTCCTTCCTTTCTTTCCTTTCTTTCCCTTCTTTCCTTTCCTTCCTTTCTTTCCTTCCTTTCTTTTCTTTTCTTTCTTTCTATTTTTTTTTTTTTAAGATTTTATTTATTTATTTGAGAGAGAGAGCACATGAGAGGGGGGAGGGTCAGAGGGAGAAGCAGACTCCCTGCCGAGCAGGGAGCCCGATGTGGGACTCGATCCAGGGACTCCAGGATCATGACCTGAGCCAAAGGCAGTCGCTTAACCAACTGAGCCACCCAGGCGCCCCTCTTTTCTTTCTTTCTTTCTTTCTTTCTTTCTTTCTTTCTTTCTTTCTTTCTTTCTTTCTTTCTTTCTTTCTTTCTTTCTTTCTTTCTTTCTTTCTTTCTCTTCTTTCTTTCTTTCTTTCTTTCTTTCTTTCTTTCTTTCTTTCTTTCTTTCTTTCTTTCTTTTCTTTTCTTTCTTTTCTTTCTTTCAAGATTTATTTATTTATTAGGGCTCCTGGGTGGCTTGGTTGGTTAGGCATCCTCTCTCTGTCTCTCAAATAAATAACTAAAATCTTTTTTAAAATTATTTATTTGAGGGCGCCTGGGTGGCTCAGTTGGTTAAGCAACTGCCTTCGGCTCAGGTCATGATCCCGGAGTCCCGGGATCGAGTCCCACGTCGGGCTCCCTGCTCAGCAGGGAGTCTGCTTCTCCCTCTGGCCCTCCCCCCTCTCATGTGCTCTCTGTCTCTCTCATTCTGTCTGTCTCAAATAAATAAATAAAATCTTAAAAAAAAAATTATTTATTTGAGAGAGAGCACAGCGGGAGGGTCAGAGGGAGAGGGAGAGAGAGACTCTCAAGCCAGACTCCATGCTGAGCACACAGGCCAACGCAGGGCTTGATGTCACAACCCTGAGATCGCGACCTGAGCGGGAACCAAGACTTGGACACTTAACCAACTGCACCACCCAGTCGCCCCTGAGGTTGTTCTTTCAATAGAGCTTTGCCTTGGGGATCGCTGTGTCCTTTTCCTTCTAGGGAATGAGGAGGTGTAGAAAAATGTTGGGGGGCCATATTGTCAGAGCAGAGGCCTGCCCAATCCACATCCTAGCTGTATGCGTACTTGCTGTGTGATTCTAGGCAAATGACTTCACCTCTCTGTGCCTCATTTTCTCATCTGTTAAGTGAGAATAAGGTTGTTGTGAGGATTAAATGAGTCAATATGTAAAGCACTCAGAAGAGTCCTGGCACATAGCAAGCACTATGCAAGGGTTAGGTTTTATTATTCCTGTGGATGTGGTTGTGGTGGTGGTTATGAAGGCGTTCTAAATGCACACACCATGATAAATTAACCCTTTTCATGTGGTAGGTATTTGTCAGGATGTAATGATTTCGAGTTCACAGTCTTATATCAAAATGATGGTATTATATCAACAAAAACATGGGCATTTTAGTACTTTAAACTAGGAAGGCAAACAGGAATGCAGGAAACTGGGATGGGGTTGATGCCTCGACACGTTGCCTAGGACCAGAGAAAGGGCACAGGGTACCATCCAAGTCACGCAGATGCTCACAGGCCTGGCATAGAGCAGGTGCGCCAGGGAACCGGCAAACTTTGATCTACTGTTGGATAAAGTTCCGGCTTCTTGCAGTTTTTTAAAATCTCTGAATTTGATGAAACCAATTGCCTTCATCCATTCAGCAAATATATAGATTTTAAAGATTTTATTTATTTATTTGACAGAGAGAGAGACAGCGAGAGAGGGAACACAAGCAGGGGGAGTGGGAGAGGGAGAAGCAGGCTTCCCGCGGAGCAGGGAGCCCGATGCGGGGCTCGATCCCAGGACCCTGGGATCATGACCTGAGCTGAAGGCAGATGCTTAACAACTGAGCATCTCCCGCCAGCCAGGCACAGTGCTGGGCACTGGGAGGCAGGGGCAGCCCAGTGCGGCAGGGAGAGAAGAGAGGAAGCTGCTGAGGAGTGAGTCTTTACTACCGATCCGGGTGGCACAGCCTGCGCAGGCCTGACTGGTCTGTGTGTGTGTGTTTCTCCTGTCCCCACCCTAGGAGGTGTCAGAGCTGGAGCTGACTATCCAGAAGTCCAAGCAAAATGACACTCGGCCCCGAGAGGTGCTTCTGGTCCTCAGTGCAAACAAGAACATGCTCCTGCAGTTACAGGCCCCAGGAATCCCACTCAACCTGGCCTTCGTGAGTGTGTTACCTCCAACCGTGGGCTGAGGCTCTGGCCATGGGAGGCCCCTGCTGTCTGTCTCTGTAGGCCAAGCTCTCCTGCCCCAGCAACGCTGCTTCTCTTTTTCATTCTGACATTATTCACCGTGACGTTATTCACCCTGCCTGGTGAATCCCATGGGGCCCTGCCTGAGAGAACCCAGGCAGCAGGGTCTGGGATGAAGAGTCCAAACCCAGATGTGGGAGTCAGGTTGATGGGCAACCCTGGCCAAGTCCAGTCCTCTTGCATAGCTGGTCTTCCCATCTGCCCAGTGGCAGAATTGGATCCAGTGACCTCCCATAAAGTAATCTTGTCACTGTCTTTGAAAAAGTTACAAGATATGTTTGAAAATATTTAAGTACAAAGGAAAAGGAAACCTAATGATGTATTAATCGTGGCTATGGTGGGGACATGGGAATAGGAGAGGCATTTATTTATTTGTGCTTTATACTTCGTTGAATTTGCAAGATTTGCTCTAATGAACACGGCCTACATTGGAGAAAAAATATTTTGCAAAAATTCCAGTTTTAAGTGTCAGGCACGTCCACCAGAGAGAGGTCAACGGGCTGGGACCCACAGCAAGGGGTGGGGGTCAGGGCTGGAGGAGGTGGGGTGGCCTGTGGGCACTGCCTCCCCCACTGGAAGGCCTTGGGAGGTGGTCCCCAGATGCAAGCAGCTGCTGTTTACAGCCAGAGAAAGTAGAGGGCAGGGGTGGGGGCGGACAGCAAAGCTAACAAGGGGGAGAGAAACACCAAGAAAAATAGAACTAGGAAGAGCCAGCTTGTTGTGGGAGGGACAGATAGGCACTCAGAGAGAGGAGGAGGAGAGCTGGGATCCAAAGACAGACCCAGATCCAGAGCTGCCTGGGAGACAGGCCCAGAGACAGAGAGAGGCTGGGGGTGGGGTGAGGAATCCAGGCTCGAAGCAGGCACAGCAGAGACGGACGGACAGGGCCAGGGAGCCATGAACTGGACCAGCTCCATGTGGAACTTCCCTCTGTTCCCAGTGGGGTAAATTGAGGCCCCGTGGGGAGCCAGGGCTTGCCAGGGCTCCTCCTCCCCCTAACTCTTCCCCCCCCTTCCCCTTCCCGTTCCTGGGCCCTGCAGGCAGGGATCTGAGCCCCAGTGGGGCCCAGGGTGACACAGGGAATATGAAACGCAGGGCAGGAAGGTCGCGGCAGCTGCTGGCTCTGGTCTGGACCAGGCCTTCCTCCTCCTCAGAGCTAAGAATAGTCGGGCGATGGGGGTGGGGCACTGTCGGAGCTGCAGGGGGTGAGGAGGGGAGGTTACAGCTACCTGAAGGGGGGCGAGGACTCCACAAGAGGGGTCACAGTTGGGTTTGCAGCTTGGGCCTATGTCTGACCCAGCACCAGGTGACTGACAAAACGCCTCGCCTTTAATCCCTGTCACATCCCCATTTTACAGATGATGACCCTGGGAGTCAGACTGGGTAAAGGTCCCTAACCTCCTCCCGCTCTAAAACACTGCCCAGCCCTTCCATCGTGCGGTCTGAGTTCCTCACCCAGGCGCTCATCACTTTGCCCCCCTACTTAAATCCTGCTCCATTCTAGGTGGACCATTCTATGGTATCTTGTCTACTGCCACTGCCAGGCAGTCCCCCTTAGTATCTAGCCTGAAGCCCTTATACTGCTGTTGCTTCAGAGCAATGCCCCTGGCTCTGAAGATGGAATGCAGAGGAACTCTGAGTCTGGGGCCCCGGTAGAACACCTCTTCCAGGAAGTCTTCCCTGTTTCCTTCCACCACGGTCTCTCCTTGAGGCCCGGGCAGTAGAGGCGGTGAGGTGCTAGAGTCACCCACATTCCCATCCCTGTGCATCCAGAGCCCTGTCTTGTTCCCTTGCTTCTGTTAAATAACATCCTCTGTCTTCTGGTGTTTCAAGTGACTTGAGGCAGGACTAGTTTCTGGATGGCAAGATCCCCCCAGGGCTGGGACAATCCCCGTTAGGCTTTCATTCATTCATTCATTTATTCATCTGTTTCTCCCTCCCTCCCTTCTTCCCTCCCCTTGTGCAGGGAGCACCTGCTGTGTGCTAGGTGTGTGGGTAAAGCTGACGTGTCAGGAGAGTCAAGTATTTCCCAGTGCCTACTATGTGTCCGGCACCATGCGGGGATAGGCAGGGCAGACGCTGTGTCTCA